GAAGGCCTGGTTGCGCAGGGCGTTGTGGCGTTTGGTCCTGTTGTCGCGGCAGGCGCAGACCAGGGCGTGGTCGCAGAAGACGTCCATCACCTCGCCATAGGCTGGTCGCCAAATGCACTCCTCGACGGCTGGTCGCCAAAAAAATCCGAGACGGCCGAAGAGGCGCCTGAGAGAGACCCAAGAGAACCCAAGCCCCGAAAAGAACTCGCGAGGCCCCTAAGGAAGGCCCCAAATGGGGAACTCGAGCTGCAACTTGGCCCCCCCCCATCCAAGAGAAGCGGGCCTCCAAGGCAGCCAGCAACGCCCCCAAGACGCCCGCAAGAGGCCCCCTGAGAACTCCAAGAAGACCCCAAGGCTCCCAAGACGCCTTACAGGGGCAAAAGGCCCCAGAAAAGCCTCCAAGAGGCCCAAGAATGGCCCCCCCCACACGGTCCCAACGGGCCACGACCCGGGCGCGGTGGCGGGGTGGGCCAAAGGCCACTTGATCCGCCGCCCCCGTAGACTGCCAGAGGGGCGCTTGGCGTGCTGGATTTGGAAGGCTTTCGCACCCTTCCCACAGGATCCCGACGGCTCCCGGTCCCCGCCGCTGCTCCCCCAGTGGCCTCCCCAGCGGCTGAGGGGAACATGCGGTCCACCTGCGCCGCCGCACTCTCGCGCGACACTTCACGGCACAGACGCCTCTAAAGGCAGAGGCCGGCGGTGACTCGCCGTAGGCGTCCTCGACCCACTTTGCGCCCCGCGCCACGCGCAGCGCGATCACATCCGCGCCCTCGCGCGGGTGGCCATGGAGAAGGGCACCACTGCGGCCCAGTCCGCGGAGCAGAAAGCGCGACCACCTCTGCACACCTGATGGGCGACCCAGGACATCAAAAATATCACCGACACGCTGGCGTTGGTACCCCGTCCGCGTGCTACCCCTTCGTTCTTGTGTGTGTGGGCCTCATCAGCAGTAGCGTGAGGATGGGTTCCCCACGGCGGCGCGCCATTGATACGGCCGGACCTCGGACAGAAGAACTTCCCTCAAAAACATGGGACCCTCCGCTGGCCCAAGCTGAGAACATTCGAAGGTGCCCTCCCCAAGGATGCACAAGAGAAGTCGACAAACACCAAAGACATCAGGGTACCGTCCACGAACCGATCTCGATTTTACGTCGGTCCGACCGCACTGCCTGTGACCCCTGGAATATGGAAAGAGCGGGGCGGAAGGGGAGGCAATCCCGAACGGCCGTTGCCCAGGGCCTCCGCGATCGCTCCAGGGTTGCGCCTGGGACCGACCCCAAGATGCGAGAACGGTACCCTGCTCGGGCCCCCCCCGGCCCCTGTTCCGACGCGGCACGGTGCACAGTCACTTCCTGCCCGGCCACGAGGGCCGAGAGACTGCGCGCCGCAGGTACTGCTCCCGGGCCGAGGGCCGACGACGCCATGGGAGACGCCCGAGCAGCAAGGTGCACACAGAGGTCGCCCGCGGACAGGAGGCCTATCAGAAGCCTCGGGTCCGCAACCCGGGCTCGGCGGGCGAGCGGACAAGAGAGAACGTGACGCTGAGGTCGTCCGCGGTTCAGGGGCCTCCCAGAGGGATCGGGCCCACGACCCGGGCGCGGCAGCGGGCGAACGAGCGAGCGAGCGAGGCGCCGACAACCCAGCACAGTGGCGGCGAGGCGCGTGTGCGCCCGTGCCCCTCAATCAGGGCAAGGCGAAGCCATGGCCTCTCTGAGCTTGCAAAAACCAAAGCGACATAAAGTCTTGCATACTCACAGAAAATCGTACGGTCAGGAACTTGTCCTCAGCGTGTCGCGGCGGCGGCCCAGGCGACACGCCATGCATTTCGAACATCGAAATGCGGTGGGCCACAACCGGCGGAACGACACGCTAAGCAAACGCTCATGACCGTACACCTCCCAGACACCCGATGTTTTGACGTTTTCACAACGGAGTCCTCTCACCAGGGTCGGTTTCGCATCCTTGTTCCCCAAACAATGTTTGCACTTAGGGAATCATGCTTCTTTCCTACTGAACTGGGGCTGCGGGCAGGTCTGGTGGTTTTGTTGTCGCCGTCGCCGCCTCGTCGCCGCCTCGTCGCCGCCCGTCGCGTGGGCCCGCGGGCTGGTCAGGCGGCTATGTTGTCGCCGTCGCCGCCCCGTCGCCGCCTCGTCGCCGCCCGGTCGTCGGGGCCTGCGTGCCCATCTGGCGGTTCCGTTTTCGCCGTCGCCGCCCCGTCACCGCCTCGTCGTTGCATTGCTTCGCGTTGCGTTGATTCGCCTTGCTTCGCATTGCTCTGCATTGCACTGTTTTGCATTGCGTTGCTTTGCTTTGCCTTGCGTTGTGTTGCGGTGCTTTGCGGCGCGCGGCATCGCATTGTTATGCGCTGCTCTGCATTGCTTTGCTTCGCGTTGTTTTGCATTGATTTGCGTTGTCTCGCATTGCTTCGCATTGCCTTGCATTGCTTCGTCTTGCTGCGCGTTGGTTTGCGAAAACGAAGTGGGAAGTCCTGGTTCCGAAGAGGCCCCGCGGGGGGTAGGACGCCAAAAAAAGGCAACGCTGACGTCATCCTTCGATGAATCGCTGGAAAAATTCTGCATGCGACGCCCACTCAGTGTGGTTCCCCCGCTGCGCGGGCCCACTGCTGCAACCCCGCCTGCGTCGCATAATAACGTCAAATTGTCCTCTCACTTCATCCAGCGCCGTCTGGACGGCCGTTTTCCCTGGCGCCCTCATCCCGCAAAGCATCCGTCCATTCGCTGTCTCTCCAAAACGTTGTGCGCCATGCCCACGACGTCGCCGGCATCCTGGCCACGCGGCCTGCCCAGAGCCAGTTCTGTCTCGCCCGTGCTTGCACCCAGTCTCTTATGCCGGCGCTCTTGACCAGCAACCTGAATTTGCGCGTCGTGCGGATGATCCACTCGTGCCACGGCTCGTCAGGTGCTTGTCTGAAGCCGCATAAGCGCCGCAGCATGTTTTTCTGCGTGGACTTTATGGCACTGTATTACGCAGCTCTCTGCGTCCACGAACACGCCCCGTAGAGCATGCAGCCCCCAACAGAAGAGTCGAACAACTGCAGCCGCTCGAAAACAAAAACGTTCTGGCCCATCAGAAGGGACTGCATCGCCCAGAGCATCCTCCATGCGATACCTGTCCTGCGTTCGATTTCCGCCCCAGTGACGTCTGACAACGACGGCATAGTTCCGAGAACTTCTAGGTTGTCCCCCTCTTGCACAAAACGTGGACAGAAAAACCTACACCTAGAACAACGTATCCTCGCACCACTATGGCAGCCCGAGTTGTCTGCACCTTGCACTTCATTGGGTGTAGCCTCAGCCCCCCGCTTAGCCAATGCTTCCCGAAACATGAGCACCATGCGCTTTAACGACAGCCACGCCCGAGCCAGCAACGTTGTGCCATCAGCAAAAACGACGTGTGTGAGGCAAGCACCACGCACAGACTGCCCAACCAGGGTGCCGTACTTGCGCCGCTGCCAGACCACCTCCACCTCGCGCAAAGGGTTCGCCATCACAAAATTTAAAAGCACCGGTGCCAAGGGGTCTGCTTGTCGCACCCCTCTCATAACGTCGAACCGCTTACTTTCGGATTCCAGAGGCCAGCTTCACGTACGCGGTCATCCCTCTGTACAACTTTCGCAAGACGTTCACTATGCGGATGTCCGCCCCCATGCCGACTTGTTATACATTGTGTTGTGTTGCATTGTTTTGCTTTGGTTTGCTTCGTTGCGTTGCTTAGATTCTTGTATTTGATGAAATTCGACTTCCCCCCCTCTGGGGTTCATGGTACGCATTTTCGTATTGCACTTTACATATGACTCCGCCCCATCGTCCATTCCAAATATGAACTCGTACCATCCCAAGCAGGCCAGTATCGTCCCCCTCCTATCCTCTGCAAAAAAACACTATGCGAACACACTCGTTGACCAAAAATCATTACTGTTCACGAATAGCTTACAAAAAAATGGACGATCAACACGCGCGCACGCATACCGAAATGTCGTCGCGCGCGCATGCCGACATGTTTCAAAAACCTCTTGGTGTCGTAATGATTTCAAATTCGACAATCACGGAAATATGAAAATGGCTTCGCAACAAAAGGCATCGAACAAAAGAGCTGCGCCCGCGCTCTTGCAATTTCTTTTTCCTGCTACACTTAAACATGGTTCACACTTTTCATAAACTGTTACCAAACGGGCCTCTCGCGCGCGCATGTCGCTCGATCGCGCCCTTGCGCGCGTGCTGTCGCAAGAACCCCTTGCAAAAAAGAGCCGACGTGCACGCGCGCGACGTGGTGCGCGCATGCCGATATCCTTCAAACGAAAATGTTGCGAAGATGAACGAGTACCCCGAAAGCATATAAAAACACGTGATTGTGCAGCATCACTTTCTTACTAGAAAACCTGCGATCGAGGTATTGTGGCTTTGGGGCACCATGAGTCTTCAACATGTTCATCAAATTCTGCCAACCTGGCCTCTCGCGCCGCATGTCGAAGTCATTCGAACGCCCTTGCGCGCGTGATAGCGGGGTGGCACGATCCGTGTCAAATAATACCACGCGGGCCACTCGCGCGCGTCGGCCGCGCGCGCATGTCGAACTCCTTCAAAAACTTGCATCGCTGGCGCGAGGACGTCGTCATCGCTATCGGCTCGCATGAGGAACATCGGCGCCGTCACTGGCCTTGCTGTCGTTATCGCCACCATCGTCACCATCATCGTTAGCCTCATAATCGTGTCTACCGTTGTCACCGTCGCCATGATACCGCGACCGCCTAAGTCACCGACTCGCACAGAAGTGCCCGCTGAGAAGTGCAAAACGGTCACTGCCACCGCGGCCACGTCGGTCGCGCCAAACTAGCTGGCCGCTGCGCGCGCAAGCATGCGCGGGCTAGCGCGGCCGCAGAAATGCACCACCCAACGCCATACGCTCATCGCAATTGCCGCCGCATGGACTTTGCAAACCAAGCTGCGGATGGGTGGGTGGGAAAGTTTGCAAGAGCATAAAATTGGTCCACTCGTTTGTAACAAAAAATGCGCCACATAGAAAGATTGCACCAAATAAATAGCACAACATAAATTGCACAACTTAGCATTAACAACACAGTTTGCTCCACACAGATTGCACTGCACACATTGGCTCCAGATAGAGTGCACAACACACATTGCGAGAAGCACGCTGTTTGGGGCCCACGCTGGCAAATATCTTGGCTAAAAGAGGAAAGCCAAGACAAATGGCAACACGACGAGACCCGACAGTGCACAGATGAAGGCAAAACCCTGCAATAGCCCCGGATTCGGGCGGAATCGGGAAGAACAGGACGAGAGGGAAAAGCAGCATGAGCAGAGGACGCTGTGTGCGAGTGTGCGAGAGGGCACTACTCATCTACCAGTGGTACACGAGGGCCGGCTTCTCATCATGAGCCGTTCTGCTGGCGGCCCTGGAGCTCGCGGAGCGGCCACACCCCGGAGGCCGAAAGCGGCCGAAGACATCCGGCCCCATTCTTCCAAGGCGCTGGACGCCTGGGCTTGGAATGAACGCCAGCAAGACCGGCAGGCTGGCATCGCGACGGCTGGCGCATTGGTCTCTGACCCCGCCCAGATCGCTCCGCCCTGGGCGATCGCGACTTCCCGATATCCCAGATCATTCGAGATCGGCCGATTCTGGGCCACTGGCGGCGTGCACCTCGCAAACTCGCGCTGGACTCGAAGCCGTGCCGACACGACGTGAACCTGCCGTGCGTACATCGGCGGCGCGCCCAGGGGGGAAGGCAGAAGCGGCGGGCCTTATCAGACGGCTCAAACAGCCCCCCGCCCTCTGAGCAGCCTCCTGAGACGTCTCCGAATCCACCAGCCCGGCGAGCTTCTGAGAAGCCCCGCCGCCCTCTGAGAGGACCTGCCGTCCCCCATCGGCGCGCCGCCAGCTTTGGCTTTGTGGTCGTAGCTCGGGTCTTCAGCGGCTACTCGGGACGATCCAGTCGCCCCTGGAACGCCCTCGGCGAGGCGCAGCCACTGGAAATCTCCCCGAGGCTGGAAAGCCTCCCGGAACCGCCGAAACGTCAGGAAACTTCGAACTTCCCCCCTGGGCGCGCCGCCGAGTGGAGGCAGGAGAGGGGAGGGGGGGGGGCGTCCTGTGCGGCCGCGGCCGCGGCCTCCGCGCTCGCCGCCTCCTCCTGCCGAGGCGCTGAGGGGGGGGGGGGCGGGCGGGCGGGGGAGATCCTCGGGCGAGCTCGCCCACTCGGGCCTCTCTCGTGGGCTCCCGCCCGAGCTCTCCTGCCCGCGCCTCTCCAAGACTCTGCTCTGGGACAGCCGGCTCGCTGCTTCCGATGCACGGTGGCGAAGCCGATGCCGAGCTGTCGCCCTCGGCCTCGAGCGGCAGGGCTCACGGGGCCCGGGGAGGGCCGCCCTGGACCTGCCGAGGCCTCGGGGGGCGGAAGCCTCGGAGAATCCCCGGAGAGTCCCGCCCACCAGCGGTTGAGGGCGCAGGTGGCTTTTAGGGTGGTGCCTCTTCCAGCCTCCTTCTTCCCCTTCGGGGAGGGGCTCATCACTGGTCCCTGCTAGCACACCCCTGCTCAGAGTGAAGACAGCCTGACGCCAAGAAAGCAGACGTCACTTCAAGCGTTTGATCAGACAGCTACCCAGGTCCAGATAAGCGACACTTATACGAGGGAAAAAAACAAGCTCAAAAAACCGCGCAGGTTCCAGTCCAGATCATTGATGTTCGTAAGCGGTACCTGGAGTCCATGAAAGTTGCTTTCATTGAGATTTCCGATGGGTGTAAACACCGCCTCCCCTGTGCGACCTGCAGCCAACCAGGACCCATGCCGACATCCCCCCCCCGCACCCCTGTCAAAAATCATAAAAATCATACGAAGCCCCCAAAACTGCAGCATGCGGGGGAGCCCCGAGACTATGTTGCACCAGATGTTGGTAGGGACGCAGGGGGGTGGGGCAAACTGCTTGATGCGCGCAAGCAAACCATCCCTGTCACAGAACGATTATAAATATACTTTGCCTCCAAATCTGGAGTATGCTCGGGCGGTCCACGACCACTTTGCATTGGTTTTTGATAGGGACGGTGGAGGGGCCCTCGTATTGCTTGCTGCGCGCAGGCCAACAATCCGTGTCAACGTACAATACAAAATCCCACCATCCCTTTAGGGCATGAGTGGTTTAGCGGGCTTCCTCTTCCAACCCGCTTCTTCCCTTTCGGGAAAAGGTTTTCCACCGTTCCCTCTTGATACAAAAAACCTCTCCCAGGCGAGCGGCAGCAAACCAGGACCAATGAGGGCCCCACCCCAACCATCCCTTTCAAAACACAATGTAAAATCCACGGTGGGGCCAGATCTTGAGACATGATCAGGGGGGGCGAGCACTTTGTAACAGGGACGGCGGGTGTGCCCGCATATTTTCGGCTGTTCGCAGGGCCAGCATCCAAATCAAAAAAAATATGCAAAATGCACTTCGAGACAAAATCTGGATCAAGCGCGGGCACCCCGCGATCACTGTGCATGAGTTCTTGACTGGCAAATTGCCTGCTATGTGCAGGCCCACCAGACGCTATGATGGCCACCGCGCCGCGATTGCGCAGTGGTTTTCGACAAGGGTGGTGGGGGCCGACACGTTTCCCGATATGTACTGCCACATGCGCAGGCGCACCGGGCACGCTCTGCGCGTGCCGAGAAGGAGGCGCACCTGGTGCGGCTGGAGCATGCGGCACAGATGGTGCACGTGGATTATGTGGCGCATCTGGCGCACAAGGCGTGCCCGGCACGCTTCGGCCACACGGGTGCCTGGCGCACCTAGTGCGCGTGGCGCGCCTGGTTGCGCACACGGAGTCTGTTTTGGTCCCCATTAGCTGTCCATCCAAAGACTACCACTGAACACGCTGCGGCTCTGGTGCTACTTATGTGTTGGGAGAGCAGGTGGGAGTAAGCGAGACGGCTTGCGGGCGGGAGACTGTTTTGACCCCTCCCCCTACCTACCCCTGGGTCTGGACGGGGCGTTTCGCGAGGGGTCGGAGAAAGCCAAAATCACTGATTTAGCTTTTACAAAATTGTGGCTACAAAGTTGGCCTCTTAGGAGGGCACAAGCACAAAAGCCCCCTTTGTGTAATCGATCTCTTCCAAGATGGCTCTAAGATGGCCCCCGAGGCTCCCCAGGGTGCCCCAAGAGGGCCCCAAGAGGTGCCCAGGAGGCCCAAGAGACCCCAAGAGGCTCCCAAGATGGCCCCAAGGGGCCCCCACGAGACCTCAAGAGGCACCCAAGAAGCCGCACGAGGCCGTGGCGAGAAGGCCAAAATCACTGGGTTCCCTAAGGTTTGGGTCACATGTTGGCCTCCTCGGGGGGGCCCTGATTAAGGAGCCCCCCCTTTTGATCGGTCTCCTCCAAGATAGCCCCAACATGGCCCCCGAGGCTCACAAGGGTGCCCCAACACGGCCCCAAGGTGCGCAGCGGAGGCAGTGAGGCCCCAAGATGCCCACAAGATGTCCTCAAGATGTCCCCAAGAGGCTCCCAAGATATCCCCAAGAGGCCCCCAGATGCACCCGAGACGCCCCAAGAGGCCTCGGCGAGGAGGCTAAAATCATTGATGTTACGAAGGGGTGGCCACATGTTAGCCTCATGGAGGGGACCCTAATGAAGGGGCCACTCTCCTTTGATCGATCTCGTCGAAGATGGCCCCAAGATGGCCCCCAAGGCTCCTAACTCCCAAGGGTGCCCCAAGACGGCCCCAAGAGATGCCCAGGAGGTCCCAAGAGGCCCCCAAGAGGCACCCAAGATGCCCCCAAGAGTCTCCCAAGCGACGCCCCCAAGAGGCATCCAAGACGCCTCAAGAGGCCCCCGAGACTCCAAGAGACCCCGAAGACGCCCCAGGAGGATTTCACGAAGCTCTTGAAAGAAATCCGAAGAGATTCCGAGGGACATACCAGAAGCCTCTGGCCGTTCTCCTCATCCTCCTCCGCTTCCTCCTCCTCCTCCTCCTCCTCCTCCTCCTCCTCCTCCTCCTCCTCCTCCTCCGCTTCCTCCTCCTCCGCCTCCTCCTCCTCCTCCTCCTCCTCCTCCTCCTCCGCCTCCTCCGCGTCCCAGGGCACGACAACCCACCCGCATACCCATAATTAGCCAGTCCTCCTCCCTCGGACCCTCCTATGGGGATGGGGGTACGGGCGTGTGTGTATGTGTTATTCGCCCGTCACGTCGGTGGACCCCCCCCCCTTCCCTGACGCGCGAGGCGCGCCCGGGAGAGGTGCGCCAGAGGCGCCGCCAGGCCGCCAGGGAGGGGAGGGTAGCCCAGCGCCGACCCAGGAAATCCGCGCTGCCCTCTGCACAAGTGTGTTGATGCCGAGCGATTCTTCGGAAGAGGAAGAACGACCTCCCCTGGCAACAGCTCTTCATCCTGTGGTTGTTTGACGGTCCCCTCAGCTGGCCGCACCGGCGCACTCATCCTGAAACGCTTTCCGCGGTGAACGCCCCTCATCCTCCCTCCTGTCCTCCGCGGCCGCCTCTCCTCCGCGCGCGCCCCCTTTTGCAGCCGGACAATTAGTTCGTCGAGCGCCCCCGCCGACCCGAGCGCCCGTGCGGATTGCCTCTGCCGTGCCGCGACGACAGAAGCGTTTAACGGTCCGGGGGCCCGGGGAGGGCCCCGGGAGGCCCGCCAGCGGAGAAAAACTCTGGGACCCGCTTCCTTCGGGACCCCGTGCCTTCGTAGCGAAAGGGCTCTCCTGTAAGGTTGATGCTTGCGGTCGATTAGCGCGGACCTCCAAAGGTTGTTGCTTCCAGTAGGTTCGCGTCGTGACGAGGCGGCGGCGACCCCAGCGCGGGCGCGCAAGGTTCTTTGCCGCCAATGGTCGTCGGTCGATGTCGAAAGATTCGCGATGTCGAACAGCGGCGATCCTGCAAGGCCGAACAATCCACGCGGTGTCAGAAACCAACGCGGTTCGAGAGAAGAAAATATCACCTCCAAGACACGTTTCCTCTGGATCCCTTTCCTTCATGGCGAAGGGGCTCTCCTGTGCGCGCATCTCTTCCTTCCGCTTCTGACGAGCGCCAGCGCTTGGACCCCTTGGTCCGTGGCGACGGCCTCAGCCTCGAATGAAGACATGGGCCCCGGTGGGAACGTGCCGGACACAGCGACGGGGAGGCGAATCGCGCGAGTGCCGCCCATCGCCCACTGGGAAGAAGAGGGCATCTCCTGCGCGCGCGCCTCTCCTCTTCAGGATGGCCTTCGGATTAACCTTCAGCCGAGAGCGAAGGCAGACACGGAGCCAGACGAGGAGGAGGAGCAGCAGAAGGAGGAGGACCAGTGTAACCCCGAGGCCCAAGCCTCGTCAACGATGTTGGATTACACCCTCCCTCCAAGCTTCCTCTTCATAGGCCCCTACACTGGGTCACAAACACTGAAAGAATTGCCCCGTTGGGGGACAACCGTACGAAAATCCTGAAGCGTGCCAAAACACCAATTCCAGGACTTCAACGGCAAGAGTTAACCTAACTGTTACGTCCTGACGATCCTGAATCTTGCTAGAACGCCATTCCTGGGACTTCAACACCGCGAATTAACGTAACTGTTGCGCCGAGTCGCTCTAAAACACCATTTCTGGTACGCTTACCATGAGAACCACTGAAACTGTTGCAAATTTGAAAAACAAATGCGCGCAACGCTTAGACGAGAGCCACCGATTGAAAACCACCCGCCCTCGATACATAAAAATCTTGCAAGCTTTTACGACGAATGTCAGCGGCGCAGAGGCGAGAACCACATGTTGAAAACAACCCACCCTGAACCCGTGAAACCCTCGCAAACTGTTAAAACGAATGTGCGCGGCGCTAGGGCGAGAGTCACATTTTGAAAACCACCCGCACTGAACCCATGACACCCTTGCAAACTGCTAAAACGAATGTGCGCGGCGCTAGGGCGAGAGCCACATTTTGAAAACCACCCGCCCTGAACCTTTGAAACTCTTGCAAGCGCTTAAATCGAATACCCGCGGCGCAAAATCAAGAGCCACATGTTGAAAACCAACCGTCCTCAATCCGTAAGATCGTCTACAACTAATGTGCGCAGCGCGAAGGCGAGAGCCACATTTTGGAAACCACTCGCCCTCAATCCGTGAAAGTATGGTGAATATTATAAACGAATGCGCACGGCGCTGAAGCGAAAGCCACATTCTGGAAGCGGTTCGCCCTCCAGCTATGAAACTGCTCCCACTTTAAAGCTTGAAGATCATCAATGGTGGGGGAGTCTCAGGCGGAACGCCCGGCCCGCCCATTGGACCAGACTCGGGTGCGACAGGTAAGGGTTATCTATATAAGGAAAATAAATGGAGGTGGAGGAGGAGGAGGAGGAGGAGGAATAGGAGGAGGAGGAGGAGGGGGTGGGCGGATGATAGCTCCAGCCAAGACGCGTAAGTTCGCCCAACGGCAAAAAGGGAGGCGGAGGAAGAGGAGGAGGAGGAGGAGGAGAACGAGGAACGCTACAGCCGCTAAAGTCCGCCTAATGGTCAAAAAGGAGAAGGACGAGCAGGAGGAGGGGGCAACAGCTGGCAGCTTATGTGCCCCAGGTCCAGTGGGAAGCTCTGCCGCCCTGACCGCGGCGCCCCGGGAGGGGCGAGATTCAGGGAGGACGGAACCGAAGGCGGCGGACTCTGGGCCCAGGAGGAAGGTACCGAGACACCGCTCCTCCCCGGACCTCTCCCAGGGCGCATTCGGACCGGACTTTCGAGGCGAGTCCCGCCGTGCCGACGATCGGGCGGTTGTGGGGGTGACCCAGATGGGGGGTGAAGGAAAGGGCCCCAGAGGAGCCCTAAAGGGACTCCTTGTGGGCTTCTGCTGGCTCCAGACGGTGCCCTACAGGGTCCCTTCAGAGCCCTGATCTCCCCCCCCCCCCGGTTGGGTCAACCCCCCATTACTACCAGGCGCCCGAGACGAGGGCCCTCCAGGACGAGCTGCCGTGGTGGCTACTGCTTCCTCCCCTGACCCTCCGAAGAAAAGTTAGAGGCTCATTAGGGGGACCTTCCCAGAGCCACTCCGCTCGTGCGTCGAAGCTGCGTCGAACGTCCGACGACTCGAGGCAAACTGAAGTCGAACCTGAGTCGAACTTGATTCGGACTTGAATCGAACTTGAATCGAACTGGAGCCGAACCAGGGCCGAACAGGTCCGTTGGGTGGGCTCCAGGCAGGTTCCCAAAATGAGCATCTACGAAGAGGGCATCTCCTGCGCACGCCTCTCCCTCGGAAGAGCAGGTTGGCGGCGCGCACAAGAGGGTAGGGGGAGAGGCGAGGCTTCTTACAAGGAGGTTGCTTCTTAGAAGGCGCTGGCCTTACATCCACAGACAAGGCCCGCGCCCTCTAAGAAGCAGGGGTGCTTCAAGGAAGCGTTCCCCCCTCCCCCCCTCCCCCATACCCCCCTCTGCGCGTGGCTGGAGGGGGCATCTCCTGCGCGCGCCTCTCCTCCTCCCTCCGCTTCTTCTCCTCCCTGCGCTGGCGCTCCTCCTCCTTCTTCCGCCGCGCCTGGCCGATCTGCGGCGCTCTCTCTCTCCGGGCCGAGCCCGGGAGGCAGAAGCAGGGCGGAGCCCGGGCGGGGGACCAGAGCCGCAATGGGAGGGGGGGGCGAGAGGGCAGGATAGCACAGGGCAGGGCAGAGAATTAGCTCACGCAGCTGGCTGAAACCGGGCTGATAAATCCAGCGCTTAACTCAACCGGTCAAACTCATCCTGTCAAACTCATCCGATGCCTAACTCATCCGCGCCTAATTCATCCGGTGTCAAACTCATCCGGTGTGATTCATCCGATGCCTATCCCATGTGGCTACTTCATCTGGTCAAACTCATTCGGTAACGAGCTCATCCGGTGCCTGATTAAATCACTCATGACCTACCTCATCTGGTCAAACTCATCCGGTTGCTAACTCATCCGACGCCCTAACTCATCCAGTACCAAACTCATCCGGTTCACCCGGTGACAAACTCATCCGGTGCCCTGTGCCTGACTCATCTGGTGCCAAACTCATCCGGTCACTAATTCATCCGGTTGCCTAACTCATCCGATGTGTCCTCACTCATCTGGCGCCTCACAGTTTCCAGTGTCCTAACTCATCTGGTGGCAAACTCATCCGTTTACGAACTCATCCGGTGCCTTGCCTCATCCGATGCCCTAACTCTTCCTATATCCGAACTCATCCGCCCTGAAGCTCATCCAATACCCTCACTCATCCGGTGCCGAATTCATCAACTCCGTCACTCATCGGATACCCTAAATTCATTCAGCCTCACTCATCCAGCATCTTGGCGGACGTGCCCGAAAATGCTTGACTTCAAACCGTTTTGCAGCCAAGCAAATTCTCACCCCCCTTCTGCCCCAGGATTCGGCGGTGGACTAACCTCCCTTTAGTAAACCTCCTCTCAGTGAAAACGGCCTGGGACCGAAACCGACGGACCTGGACCCGCAAAAATGGCGGCCGCGACGCCCTCTCGCGAACCGAAAACGGCCAATTCGCTAATCGACGTGTCAGGGTAGGAGGTCTATCCACCTCCGAAGGATACGCCCACGAAACCCTCCAGAAGCAGCGAGCTCCCAACGTCGCCTGGAAAGACATCCACCGATATCTCAAAAGTGGCTCCAAATTTGCTTGACTACAAGCCGTTCTGTAGTTAAGCAAATTCCAGCCCCCCATCTGCACCAGGACCTGGAAGCCTCCCAGAACGTGACCTTCAAAGCGTCCAACAATGCCTCAAAAGTAGCTCAAAAGTTGCTTGACAACAAAACGTTTTGTAGCAAAATTATTCTCACCCATCTGCCCCAGGATACTCCCGAGAAGCCCTCCAGCAGAACCTCGAGAAGCAGCGAACCTCGGACGTCGCCTTAAGAACCACCCAATAAGAACTAAAAAAACAACTTAACATGTGCTTGACTACAAACCGTGTTGTAGTCAAGAAGATTATCACCCCCGTTCTGCTCCCAAAACGCACCCAAAAGTCCCTTCATAATAGCTTCTGGAAGCATCGAGCTTCCAACGTCAGCTTCGACAACATCCGAGCCTAACTCATCCAGCATCCAGTGCCTAACTCATCGGGGCGCCAAACTCATCCAGAGCCCTAACGCCTCTGGTGCCAAATTCATCTGGCGCCCTTCCTCAAATTAAGCAGGCCTGTCCGGAGACTAACTCATCCGATGCATTAACTCATCCGGTGCCTAACTCATCCGGTGACTAACTCACCCGATGCCCTACCTCATCCGGCGCCGAAATCATCCGGTGCCCTAACTCATCCGCTGCCCAAACTCATGCGGTGCGAAACTCTTCCGGTGGTTACCTCATCCGGTGCCCCAACTCAACCGGTGTCCTAACTCGTCCGGTGTCCTAACTCACCCGCTGCCCAAACTCATCTGGTACTCTTACTCTTCTGATATTCTTGAAAGCGTCAAAAAAAACATTCGAATCAAGGAAATCAAAAATTGCTGAACTACAAACCGTTTTGAAGTCAAGCAAATTCGCACCTCCTTCTGCCCCAGGATGCAACCAATAACCCCTCCAGAACACCCTCGGGAGGCAGCGACCCCCAACATCGGCTTCAAAATCATCCCACAAGAATTCAAAGTAACTCAAGATTTGCTCGACTACAAACCGTTTCGTAAGCAAGCTAATTCTCACCCCCCATCTGCCCCAGGATGCCCCCGAGAAGCCCCAGAAAAGCCAGGGAAATTGACTCATCCGATGCCTGACTCAATTTCCCTAGACCGAACTCATCCAGTGCCTAAATCATCCGATACCAAGTCATCTGGTGCCAAAAGCACCCGTTGCTAATTCATGCGGTCCGTCACTAAACTTACTCAGGCTTAACTAATCCAGTGCCTAGCTCATCCGGTGCTCTGTTCATACAATTGCCTAACTCATCCGGTGACTAACTCATCCGGCGTTTTAACTCCAAATGCCGAACTCATCCAGCCCGCCTCTCAGTAGGAGGGAGACAGGGAGGAGCAGAGAAGGTGGAGAACGTGCAGGAGGGAGACACAGAGGAGAATTAGCCTGGCGAAGAACCCAACCCCATGAAGTGGTGGGGTACCGCATTTGGAGATATCGTGGAGCTCCCTATGGGCCACGAAACGCTGTACTGTGTGGGGGAGACGCATGTGAACTTTCCCACTGGGGACGTCGGTGGAGCTCCCCGAAGTCTCGAGCGGGAGCCGTGGTTTTGTCGGGACGGGGACTGTCGGCGGCGAGGAACAGCACCGTCCTGAGGAAAAAAGGAAGCCTCGAGCGGAAGCGTTGTTCTTGCTGGGAGCGACGCCAATTCAATAGAGAGTAGGGCGCCAGTCCAGCGTAAAACGGGAGGAAGTCTCGGGCGGGAGCGCTGGTTTGGTTGGGACGGCGGTTTTCGACGGCGAGGAGGAGCACCGCCTTGAGTAAAAAAGAGAGGAAGTCTCGAGCGGGAGAGTTGTTGTTGCTGGGGGCAGCGCCGATGAGAGAAAGAGTAGCGCGTCAGTCCAAAGGTAAAACGGGAGGAAGTTCCGAGCGGTGGTGCTGGTTTTGTTGGGACGGCGGTTTTCGGCGGCGAGGAGGAGCACCGCCTTGAGTAAAAAAGGGAGGAAGTCTCGAGCGGGAGAGTTATTGTTGCTGGGGGCGGCGCCGATGAGAGAAAGAGTAGCGCGCCAGTCAAAGGTAAAACGGGAGGAGGTCCCGAGCGGTAGCGCTGGTTTTGTTGGGACGGCGGTTTTCGGCGGCGAGGAGGAGCACCGCCTTGAGTTAAAAGGGAGGAGGTCTCGAGCGGGAGCGGTTGTTGTTGCTGGGGGCGGCGCCGATGAGAGAAAGAGTAGCGCGCCAGTCCAAGGTAAAACGGGAGGAAGTCCCGAGCGGTAGCGCTGGTTTTGTTGGGACGGCGGTTTTCGGCGGCGAGCAAGAGCACCGGCCCTGAGTAAAAGAAAAAAACGAAGTCTCGAGCGGGAGCGTTGTTGTTGTCGGGGGGCTGGTTTTGGCGCCCCCACCAAACCGCTCGTGCGTGAGCCTCATTTTCAATGAAAACGCAGCCAGTGCCGAGGCGAGAGCGCCAAGGCGCCTGGGGGGTCCAACAGGAATAATTGTTTAATAATTAACATTCACCAACAACAACAATCATATTACCTTCATGCACGATGTTTCCACACGAAGCATGCGACCATCATGATAACCATCCCCATCGTGGGGGACTATTGTTCGATAGCGGGGTCCGTTATTCCCATTCCCAGATCTCCCGCCCAATGAGGTCTTGCAAACACGTCCTCCGAGGAATTTCAACATATCCCGCCTCGAAAACGCATGCCCGCGCCTTGCTGCGCCGATGCGAGACCGCCAGTGGAGCCCCAGCCAAGGGTAAAGCACAAGGAAGTATCGAGCGACAGGATTACCTTGGTGGGGATGGGTGCTGTCGGCGGCGAGGCAAAGACCTGGCCCTGAATAGAAAGGGAGGAAGTCTCGAGCAGGGCCGCTGTTGTTGTTGGGAGTGGCGCCAATGCTGAAGAGAGTAGGGCGTTAGTTTAGCGTAAAACGAAACAAAGTCTCGAGCAGGAACTCTGGTTTTGTTGGGACGGCGGTTGTCGGCGGCGAGGAGGAACACCGCCTTGAGTAAGAAGGGAGGAGGTCTCGAGCGGGAGCCGCGGTTTTGTCGGGACGGAGGCTGTCGGTGGCGAGGAAAAGCAGGGTCCTGGGGAAAAAGGTAGGAAGCCTCCAGCGGAAGCGTTGTTCTTGCTGGGAGCGGCGCCAATTCATTAGAGAGTAGGGCGCCAGTGCAGCGCAAAACGGGAGGAAGTCTCGGGCGGGAGCGCTGGTTTTGTTGGGACGGCGGTTTTTTGGCGGCGAGGAGGAGCACCGCCTTGAGTTAAAAAGGAGGAAGTCTCGAGCGGGAGCGGTTGTCGTTGCTGGGGGCAGCGCCGATGAGAGAAAGAGTAGCGCGCCAGTCCAAAGGTAAAACGGGAGGAAGTCTCGAGCGGTAGCACTGGTTTTGTTGGGACGGCGGCTTTCGGCGGCGAGCAAGAGCACCGGCCCCGAGTAAAAACAGAAAAACAAAAAACCAAAATCTCGAGCGGGACCGCTGTTGTTGTTGGGCGGCCGGTTTTGGCGCCCCCCAAACCACTCGAGCGTGAGAATCGTTTTCAATGACATTGTAGCCGGCGCCGAGGCGAGAGCGCCAAAGCGCTTCGGGGGAGGCCCAACAAGAATTATTGTCTAATACTTAACATTCAACAACAACATCAAAAACAACAACAACAACAACAACAACAACAACAACAACAAGAAGAAGAAGAATAAGAACAACAACAACAACAACATCAACAACAACAACAACAACAATTACTAGCACGTGGGGACACTCCGTTCTCACCAGTGCCAGGGTTTTCATAAGAGGCGGGCAATACCCCCACTTTACCAAATTTCCAAACGACTCTTCGCCACCACCCACACCCAGCTTCCCGCCCTATGACGTTCGGACACTTCACTTCGTGGCATGCGGACGACCGTGGCTACTATTCAGGGCCCCGCG